ACTCCCCAATTTATGAGTATTTGAGGTGCAAACTTTCACAGGTGTACTTTGTCAGACTTACAAGTGAATCCAACTCATGAACCTACTCCTGGAACAGAACTTGCTCGCAAGTTGGGAACTTAGGGTAGATACCAGAATTTCTTGATCTTGGTACTGTTTACATTTTTGGCCAATAATTCTTTGTGGTGGGGGTGGGGGTCCTGTGCACTGTAGGGTATTTAATCTTGCCTGTGGCTCCCACCCAATAGATCCCAGTTACACTGTCACAGTTATGACAACAGAAATAGCCCTAAACACTCTAACCCCATGTGGGCTAAAGTCACCCTAGTTGAGGACCACTGAAAAGATTTCAGAACCCTAGAGATTTTGCAGGAAATGAGAAGTTTAGTTTCCATGACATACTTTCTGTTGTATAAGGTACTATGGAATAACTATGAATACATCCAAGAAATAATGTCAGAATTTAGGGAATCCAAGGCAGATACGGTAAAAGGAAATTAAGGAAACATTTTAAGTATTGATAATAAAAGGAAAATCTTATATTGGATTTTAATTATTTTAGTGAAGTCCATGGGTTCTTGAACTTTTTCTGATATTAGAAGTCTCCTTAGTAGAAAACAAGCCAAGAGGACTTAAGGAAATCAAGTATGACCTTTAGTATCCACAATATGTTACATTTAGTTTTTAGGGAGTCTTTTTTTTTTTTTTTTTTGCGGAACCAGGGATTGAACTCAGGCCCTTGCACTTGCCAGGGAGGCGCTTATTCCACTGAGCCATCTTCCTGGCCCCTAGGGAGTCTTTTATAGTAATGGTCCCATCTCATCTGGCTGGGTATTATCATGCCTTAGTTAGAGGTCTGTTTGCTGGTGTTCAGTATACAACTCCACAAAAATGAGCCAACCAACCAGAAATTAGCTTTATAACATAGGGAAATGGACAGCTAAGACCTTTTCAGGATGAAACCGAATACTACTTGAAGATACAGTAACATAGGCAGATTCACCATGTAACTGAAAACATAGAAATTGTCCATTGTATTTTCAAACTCTGACCCATGGATTAGTGTTCAGGAGGCATCCAGGATGCTCAGACTAGAACTTTTGGAATGCAGTTTTTTTATTAAAAAAAAAAAAGATTTGTTTGGGTGCTGCTGAGGATCATACCCAGGGCCTGTGCTTGCTATGCAAGTGCTGTACCATTTAGCCATACACCAGCAGCCCTTGAAACAATTGTTGTAATAGTGGTTCATTGCTTTTTGCTTTGGCTAAATTCTACTTTTGAGTTTGAGTTTCAGTGAGCATCTAAATCTTAATTTCCTTTTACTGTATCTGCCTTGGATTCCCTAAATTCTGACATTATTTCTTGGATGTATTCATAGTTATTCCATAGTACCTTACACAACTGAAAGTATGTCATGGAACCTACACTTCTTATTTCCTGCAAAATCTATTTTAAATTATGAATGGCCCTATTCATAATTTGTTCTTTTTAATGTGTCTATAAAAGTCTTTCTAACCTTATAATTTAACTTTTGTGTGGAAAAGTTAAAATATATCTAGCTACAAAGACCTCTGTGAATGACAAATCTCAGATTATCCCTTTTAGGATGGAACCGTTAAGTAGTTTCTGCTGAATCTACAGTCCCTTAAACCACAAAAAAATAGCTTCACGTAGCGTTTGGTGGCACGGTTGCCATCATGTCCATATTTTGCATCTTGTCCATATTTTACATCACTTCGGCTCCCCTGTGCTTTCTGTATATGTCTGTTCATTGTTTTTGCTGTTGATTGTATCACAAAATACACTGTTCCTTGAATCCATTACAATCCAAAGGGAAATGCAAAGGTGCTATATATTGCAGAACACATATGAAACTTGCTTACCCAGTCTTACGTACGTTTCTAGAAATACTGTGCAGAGATTAACTCCACTTTTAATTTAAGCAGATAAAGATCCCCCACCCTATTAGTTTTCTATAATATTCGGTATTTGGATCATCTTTTGTATCTCATAAAGGCTTTAAAATATTTGACTTAAATATCTAGGGTATTCTTTATTTAGAATAATAGTGAATTGTGGACTGCAGAATCCTTTATTTTCAAAGATGGTATACTCTTTTGGGTCTCAAGTGTTACCTTCTCGGCTAAGAATAAGAATCTGACTGAAGTCAAGGAAATGTTCTTGGGTCAGTAGCCATGAAGATTCCATATGAGATGACTCAGGTCTAGAAAGAGTTAAGGAGCTTCACTCAATATTAAAGAATACGTGCCTCTTCATGTAATTGTCAGTACTAGGCACTATATGTTGAAATAGTCTTAGGACAGCTATTATTTGGAATTTTTGTTCATTTATGTCTTCTGTTTCAGAAAATGAGCTGTGCAAATGGTTAAGCACTTACTGTGTAACCGTATACATGCATGTTATGTGTGTGCAGATCAGTAGAGTCACTTAATTTCTGAAACCTAGCTGTGCCAGTCCATGATTATACAAAGACATTATTACTATGTAGCTCTGGAATAAGCCTTCTACTGTACAGTGTCTTCTTTCTCTGGAATTAGACCTATGGCTGTTTGTTTTTTTAATTTATTGATGCATCTGAGGTAACAACAAAATGAGTTCCAGGGTCTTACAACTATTTTCAACAATTGCTTTGTTATTCAGTTACTCAGGCACATTATATATTTTCATTTAAGCTGTATTTTCTTTTATGCTTATTAAGCAAAATGAAAGATTTCTAGTCCCTTTAATTACACGAGCCACGGCTTCTAACCCCATATCAGCTTCTTTTATCAGTAACAAAAGTAGCTAGCAAAGCTGTCACCAAGGGGTTAAATTTTTTCATCATGTGTGTTTATGAAGAACCACAGCTATGTTGGCTGTACTTTTTTTTTTAAACTTTCTAGTTCACTAATCAAATGTATGTTAGATTGATTATTGTAAAAGTATAAACCATAGAAAATTTGACAAGATAGATGTGTAAATTATCCTTCTGACAGAACTAATGATGCACTCCAAGCACCTTCTGTTTTCCACTGCTTGGTGAGCGACTTCATTAAATATGCAGTGGCTGTTGGGTGGCTTCTGAGATGATAGTTCAGCTCCTTGTGGAATTGCATTATTACTAGAGGTGTAAAACCAGGCAGACAAGCTAGCTGTTGGGCATCCTGCTGAGCTTCTAATATGCTCCATCTTGTTGGAGCAGTTGTTTGCAGTCTTTTCAGGACAATTACATCTATAACCACAGGACACATTCAGTGAAACTATATTACAGATAACAGTGGAGAATGGCTTTGGCTGTTCTTCACCCCTCTGTGGAGCTGCCTCTGTGTGGGCGGCTGATATAGCATGACAATGCCCCTGTTCCACTCAGAGTAGTTCCTGGTTTTTTTTTTTTTTTTTTTTTAAAGTTCACAGAACAAATCTGAAAAAAAAAATTTTTTTGTTTTGAAGTGCTTGAACTCACAGAATATCAGAATCAAAGAGACAATAGATTCTAATCCATTTTTAGATGTGAAAACTAAGGCTGAAGCATAGTCGTGGATTGTCTCTTAGGACATGGTTAAAGGTCCTAGCAGAACATCTTTTACATGGAACAGATTGTGTGAGTAGGAACTTACATTGTTGAGCTTGTAATTTTAGAGATTCCATAAAAATTTTAATTTTAAATTCAGTTTTTTTCCTCCTGAACTTCATTTCCCCTCATCTTCACATGAGAAATTCGTATTTCTAAAAGTCAAGCAGAAATATCTGAGGGTATCATGCCATTTATTATTTCAATGACAATTTGATGGATTCCTGGAGAACTGAACACAAAAGATGGTTTGAGTTGAACTACAGTGATATTTAAGGCTTTTGAAAAGTAGATGCTGTGATGTATCGCTGCAGCCTGATAAATGGGAGTGCATTTTGAAATGACAGGTTGAATACTTTAATGAAATAAAGTTTCCCGTTTCAATTAACCAATTAAATCACCATTGATGACTTTGGATCATTAATGAACATTTGTGCAAAATGACTATTTGAATTCAATTATTGCAATAATGCATGTATTTGAGAAGTGCTAACGGCTTATAATTCTAACTGTAAATTAAAAGACATCTGTATTGCCATAGAGAAGTAAGCACATTGCATTGCTTGCAATGCCAAACCAAGTTGACAGTTCAGAATTTTTTTGCATAGCATTTCTTATGAAAGTTGTACTTAGAAAAGGTTATGTTTTCCATTAAGTGCCTTTAAAAATATAATTATGCTAATCATCATGTTACTTCATTCTTAAATTAGAGACAAAGGAGGAGGAGACATCACATAGCTTATAAAAGCAAAATGTTAAGTTTAAGATGATTAGGTAACTAATTTTTTTAGTGCCCCAAAATTTCTGAATATAGAAAGCCATTAGGAATAAAGCAACTATTGTTATATGAAAATATGCAAATATATTTAAAAGTGCTGTGACAAACAGTATAAACAGAAAGTTTTAAGCTTGATAACCAGTGTCTTTTTCCCATGTGCCTATTAAAGATTAGACTTGTTTTCTTGTAAGTTTTGTGCTCCTGAAAATATTTTAGGATCTATACACTAATTTTTTAGCGAGTATAGCCAACAAATTCATCTCAAAATAATTTTTTTTTAAAGTTAGCTTCATTTTCTCTGGAACTTTGGTGTGTTTGGTAGTTCAGATGAGAGATAGATTCTTTTGAAATCTATGTTTTCTCATCTTATGTTTGTAAAATGGGCTGTAGTCTCAGTGTAGGCTTCCTTCAATCTCCATTTCATAGTTTACAGAGAAAGGAGACACTTTGGAGCACAGACTTCCCCTGGGAATGCATTGGGCTTAATGAGCTTGATAGTCTGGTGGGCTCAATAAATCAAATAAAGCAAAACATTTCTCATTTTTGAATAAAAGCATTTATCACACAGTGTTTGTTCACTCATGGTCACAAGATTGATTAGTTCTCAGCATCATAGTGTATATTGAAGCATTTTTTATTTTGTTTTTCCAGTGGGCAAGTTACGGAAGCAATGGCTAAAAGAAAGCATCTCTGAGGTCGGCTTTGGGATGCTGAAGTCCGTCAAGGAGTATGTGGACCCCAGTAACATCTTTGGAAACAGAAACCTTTTATAATCTATTAGTATCATTATGAAAAATGTCACTTTTTCTTTTTAAGACTTCAACAATGGTTATACCAGTAATCAAATATAATCCTAGACTGTATTTTGACCCTTTTGTTTGTTGTTTTAAAGTAAGTTTGTTTTTATTCTGTGGTTTTCTCATCTATGGATCGACAAATGGTATTCCTACATCTCCTCTTGTAGGTATATCAGTTTATAGCCAGCGGTTGTCACTTCACATCTTGGGTAGCACAAGTCTGCTCGTTATTTTGGAAAAAGATGCTGCCAGCTGTTTCATATTGATGCTTTCTCTTGGAACGGGCAGATTTTGGTATCATCTGTTGTTCATCTAGTGTTTCTTTAAAAGACTATTTCTGACAAGCAAGTATCTAGAGAGAGAGTCCACTGAGAATGATACATGTATCTTTTCTAAGAAATATTCTACTGTGAGTAGGCCATTAAGGGAGAGTTTTCATAAAAGAATATAGGCAGCTTTTGCTAGTATGCCTTTAGTTCGTAAGGTGCTTGGTCTACAATTTTCTTTGAAATTAGTAAACAGTTGTAAAAACTTTAAATCACCAGTATAATAATTCTGTGAGAGGACACATTTTTGTTCTCCATGTTTCTGTTTCTACTGAGGTATAAGTTGTATTTGTATCACTGAGAAGTAACCTATTGTTATATCCTAGATCATTCATAATATGTTTTATAAGAAAAGCTGACACCACTCGTATGTGAAAGACAGGTTTACCGTAAAGTGAGCGTCTTTATCCATCCCAGAGTCCTAGTGTTTCTGCTGTTGCATGCTTGTGACTGAGCTGCAGAGAAGTTGCAGCAGGATCAGAAGGAAGACTCCTGACCCTAATGTCTCCAGCTGAAAGAATTGTTTGGCGAAAACACTCATTGTTCAGCTATTGAATTTCAAAGCCTCAACAATTTCAGTGACAATTTTTTTTTAACCCAACACAGCATGATAAATTTTCATATAAAAATAAAGTGTGAATTTAGTTCCTAGTGGTTTAATACCTTTTTTGAATTACTGGTTTAACCTTGATTTTAAAAGAAATATATTAATGCAAATAGCATAATCAAGTATCCTATTTCTTAAATAATGAGAGCATTAATCACAGAAAACATTTTTACATTCAAACCTGGCTATTAAAATACATGAATTTATTAGTTTAAATTATTGTCTGTCAAGGTTCATGATTCACATTTTGAGAAGGATTCTTTTCTTAATAAAATACCTAACTTTTGATAATTTTTTAAAGTTACTATTTAATCAGATTATGTGGGTCATAATGCTGATTATCCTTTAAAAGGATGTGCTGTCTATCTGTGTAGCAACAGCTTCAAAGTATTTTTGGGCAGTTTGATACCTTTTTTATCTGAAGTAGCCTTAACCAGAAAAGTGAAAATTTCAAAATGATAAAAAGGTATTTTTAAGACTTCAAAATAATAATTTTTAACTATTAAAATTGGCCTCAAACTAACAAACTTAAATCTATAAGCAAATCAAAATTAAGTGCTAGTTTAACAACAAAACTGTTTATTTTTTAGAAGCTGCCTCTCTTCATTGGTGATTTATTTTTAATTATAAAATTTCCAGGAGATCTTTTAAGGCCTGTGAGGATTTGAAATAGTTGGACACTTGAGGAAATTGGCTTTAGAATTATAAAATTATTAGCTTTATAAACTGCATCTATTCATAAAGGTGATTTCTCAAATTGGTGATCAAAATGTAAAATATAGTAAGATACTAATATCTCCCTGGAAGTATGTACATGTTTCTGAATAATTTTTTAATAAAACATTCATAAGCAGATACATTCCTTTGCATGTGATTGTTATAACTTTCTTTCCCAGGGAGTTTAGATTACAACAGCCTCAGAAATCTGTACTTAATATTAGAAATTTATAAGTTTAACACTTGAAATTATTGTGCTCACTGTTCTACATGAACTTTATGGAAACTAGTGATTTATGTTCTTTTTTTTCTATGTATTCAGGACTCCCCAATCTTGGTTTTATAATGGTGACTGCATTTTGTAGTTGGAATCATTTGCACAGGGATCATTTTGAATCTCAAGAACATTTATCAACACTGTTTCGTTCTAATTTATTAAGGAAAGCCTTCCCCACACTCTCACCTACTCACTTCTGGGAGGTACCTAGGTCTATACTCAGTGAATGTGGAGGACTGAGTTCATGAATATGCACAGAAGCACTTAAATCATACCTCTCATTGCTGAAGTATTTGAAAATGGCTTGTTTATATGAGGCTTAACTATTTTTAATAAGTTTTATTTAAAAATATAAAAACATTAATTTTTTAGTACTGGGCATCACTGACTTTCTTGAGTTGTCCCATATTTTTAGTATTTTACTTAAATTCTGTGACATCTTTTGGGCTGCGGATTCAGTGGGAATGGGAACTTGCAGCTGGTAGAAATAGCATTGAATTCTAAAGTGTATGAACAGGCTTTATTGGTCCTTAGAGAAACTGCTGCCTTAATGTTTGGTGCAGTGTAAGCAGTGCATAAGGGTTTAGTCTTGTGGTAGTAACTGAGTTTTTCTGTGTCATAAGAATTGTGGAAGACACATGTTTATTGTGTCCAGTATTTTACCAAGAGAAGAGGATTAAAATTTTTCCTCTTCTGAAAAATAGGGAGTTTTCTTCCTATAGTGCTTACATATTATAGCACCATCATTCTAAAGTTATTTATGGGGCTGGAAGCCTTCTAGTGTACATAACTCTGTTGAGGTATATTTGGAAAACAACAGTGCAATAAAGGCTGGGCTGCCATCAGAGTATGTCTTAGGCTAGGTACAGATAGATGGTTGCAAAGAGCCCTTTTCTTCAGCATACTGCATTAGCAACTAAGTTGCAGATTGCATTTTTGAAAATTCTTTTTTGCATGTTGACCTCAAGAGATTTTTCCCTGGTCAAACTCTTTCACAGCTATCACTTCTTAACTGTAGCCGATCAGAGACATTCTGAAGTCCTAAAGTGTGTTCCTTTGGATCTTCAGATGGGGCTGGATTTGGCTGAACTTTATTCAATACCAATATTAGACCACAGTTGATTACTATGGAGTGATTCCTAAGTTGCGTGTAGTAGTGCTTGAGGTAGCCAAAGGGAATGAATGCTGTGGAAAGCCTGTCTACATTTTAAGGAACAGGGAGGCAGAAGTTAGTGACTGCTTCAGGAGCTTTTTGTTTAACACTTACTCTTTAGCAAGTTTGATTTTGATCAGGGATTTGCTCATGGTAGGAGAAAAGCAGAAAGTATCAGGAGTGCTAGGTTAGGAATAAAGAAATTTGAGTGTTCCTAAGTTGGCCTTATTAGTTGTAAAGCTTGGTTTCTTGCTTGAGGCTTTATGTTCCCAAGTGAGCCGTATGTCAACATATTCATTTAATTCTTACTAATTTCACTTTCCTGCAGAGGGAAGAGGGACGTTGATAGGGAAATCTAGACTGTGCTAGAGATTTACTTAAACTGTTGAAATAGTGTCTGATACAAAAGATGAAAGTTACTCAGATTTCTGTTCCCTAAAGCCAAATAGTGCTTGTCTTCAGTGTGAAATTTAACTGTAAAACCTGCCTGTACAAATGTCAAGAGATTATAGAAATATATTATTAATAAAATGGACCTGGATCTAAGAATTTTTTTTTCAAAGGGAGTATGAAGCTGTTTTTTCTTCTGTTTGCATATTAGCTCTTCTTTTAACCTTAGTTTTGCATCTTCCTATTTTTACTGATTTGAAAAACAAAAAAAATTTTTTTAATTTTTTTTGATGCATAATTAAGTACTAATCCCTTTGGATCTGTGGCTGAGTATATCATTACGTAGCTAGGTTGTATTAATGTCTAATTACATTTTATATCAGTGTTAAATTCCTAGGTGCTTAATCTTCTGTGATTCTAAAGCGTATCCCTTGTAAACCTTGGAAGTTCCTCAGAGAGCGAGTGGCCTCATGCTTTTCTAACCACAGTAATTAGTTCCTTTACGAAGGAGGGAAGGACCATGGATATATACCACACAAGCCAAAGAACCATGACAGAATTCAGTAACTTTAATTCTTTGAACATAATATTTCTCTTTTGGTTCCCAAAGGAAATTGTTTTATATTTTTTCACAAAATAAAAATAATACATTAAATATTGTTGTACATTTTTTAGATACTTTGAATTCCCATTCTGAGAGAAAAAAATTGTAATTTCTAAGTAAGATATGTATACTTTTTAAGACACGTTAGTGTTTTTCATGAACACCACAGGGCCCCTATGAAACATACTTTCTTAAATTAACCTTATTTGAATATCTAAAAGGACATGAAATGCTTGTACTGGCATAGTTCCTATAAGTAGTTACTTATTGACCTACTTAAACAGTACCCCTCAAAAAGCTTTCAGTGCCTTGTTGAGATTCCTCCTGCCCCCTTGAAATAGCCATTTCGAATGTGTGGGAGAAGATAGGTCTTTAAAGACAGGCTGTTTTGCAGTTAAAGGCTCTTCCTCTTCAGGAACATGTCAGGAGTTACATAGTTGTATGTAGAGATCCTGAGAATCCTTTCCACAGGGTTGGCTTGGCTCGCCTAGCGTGTTGAGTTGAGTACATGGCGGACCTCTACTCTCACATACATCTGGACAGTCAGTGGGGTTTGTATCCACTTTCATTCCTACATTTTTGTCCTTACTGTTCAACGCCATGGCCCTGCTATGTGGCTTGGCAGATATGGCACACTCGCCAAGCTTTGACACATTCCCTGCATGCTTCGGGATGTTTGCTCACACAGCTCCCTAGGAGCAGGGCCTGGAAGGGGGTTTCTGGTCCTTAACGTGTGTCTGTCCTTTTGTGTGATGGTGCCTTCAGAATAATGCATTTCTGTTCCTGGGCAGTGATAAATCTTATGAGAAATATGTGTAAGTTGCATCATCATTTTTGTCTTTTTGCTAAGCCTGTGATATATTTTGGCTCTGATACAACTTGAATAGTACCTTCTCCTGAGTCTTCCTCCAAGGCAGTGTGTATTCCTGCCAGTACTGTACTAATTTTTGGGAACTACATGTGGGTGAGCACTTGTATGTAAGCCATTATACTGCTGTAACTAAAGCATACAAATACTTCTCTATACGTTTATAGTCTAACAGTGAATAGGTGGGGGAAGGAAAATACCTGAGAGATTCCAGCGCAACTTTGTCAATTTGAACTGAGCCATACTGCTTTCCACAAGGGCTCACACTCGTAGTCTCTATATAGTGCTTTGAGAGTATGTTTGAATTCTCCTTTTATTCGTTTTCTTAGACTGTACTGTTCTATAAGCAAATGCCCATGTGTAATTTTTTAAAAAGATGTGCTGGGAACAAATAAACAATACCAAACTGCTCATTGTTTACAGAAATTTTTGTTTCTTTCATATTGATTTCTTGTAGCCTTTATTAATGGTATCGTGCTGTATTCAGGAAAAGAAAAAGATACACTGTGTCATAAGTAGCCTCTCTACTACATGCACAGAGACACTGATCTTGTCCCTGCCTGTGGCTTCCACATAGGCAGAGAAGGTTTTCGTTGTCTGCTCTGCGAAATGACTGATGAGCCTTCTTGCACTCTGCCTTATGTGACACATTTCAGTGACCATTACCACACTAAGATTTTCCCTTTCCTGATATTTAGTTGGTGAAAGAAAAAACCATTTTTTCCCCTGGCTTATGTAGGCCTGGACTGAACAAGCCTTATGAATCACTCTGTCTTCTACCCATCCTTTACGAATTGCTGTGTAGCCTTCCCCATTCTCCAGGCCCCAAACAGCCATTCTTCTTAAACATTTATTGTAAACAAACGAGAATTTACTACTTTTCCAGGAAGCCATTTTCAAGTTCTGAAATCTTCAAGTAATGAGACATGTTTGTCTTGTTACTAGACTTAAAATCTTTTCTTTTTCCTTCTATCCATTAATACAAGTTCTACCTTTTGGAGTTGTAACTGCCCACTTCTGGCAGCTCTTCA